CCCCAAAAAAAAAAAAGTGGGTCAAAGTTACTATTTGTTCCTTACAAAAAATTTTAATTTTATGAAAATGATTTTTCCTCCAATGGCAAGATCATTCCAAGGGAAATCTCACTGTTTCTGTTGCCTAGTGCCTGATTTGCATTAGAACTAACCCCTATCTGGACATTGGTTAGTTCTTGCTAGGTAAGAAAATCACTTCCTCAGTCCTTGAATCTACAGTCATAATCTCTGTGATTACTGTGTGCTTATGTCAAGCTGTATCCTTGTTTTTCCTTGTTTTATCCTATCAATTAAAAAATATGAGGCTGCTTGAGAGGACTTTTGTATATTTCTTCAGCTTTTCTTTACAGCCACAAGAAAGATTATAGTTAGATGGCTAGAGTCTGCTTTCTCTGAGAAGATAGCATGTTACTTTTTGTCTCAACTGAGAACTCAGCGTCGCCCTCTTAACCAGTGCTGTCCCTGTTATATTTGCTACGCATCAAAAAAAAAGGATATAAAATACTTCTGTCGTTTGTTATACACAAAAAAATATCTATTGATCACAATAGAAAACATTTCTAATGCGAAGAGTATGAAGCTGGGACCACTGTGAGATGTCCTCTGTTTCAGATCTGAGATACTTGTTCCTGAACTGTAATTACTGAAAAGTAATTCTGTATTTATCATGGTGTATCTCTAACACATATTAAACTGTCTTTCAGGGATTACCAGGAATTGAAGGACCTAGGGGCAAGCATGGTTTAGATGGCTGCAATGGCTCAAGAGGAGATCCAGGATTTCCAGGCGAAAATGGTTACATTGGACCAAGAGGTCCTTATGTACGTGAAAGGCATTCCTACTGTCTATGCATGCTGTATATGTACATTTCTCCTTCAAGCTAACAGCTCTTAAAATGAAAGGAGTTTTAGACTATGACACTAGCTTTACACCACACAATGAATTTCCAGGCATTCTTACTAATGTTAATGGGAGTGAAGGACACTTGGTGCCTTAACAGATTAAGTTTAGCTTGAATGTGAAAGAAGTTCCTGTATCCTTGAAGTACAGATGTCTACCTTGAGAGTTACATTCTGCTTTGTTTCCAAGTACATAACCACACCAAAGCTAATACCATTTCATGGAAGTATAACTGAGGAGTAGCTTCAAACCATCACACCATTTATCAATACTTGAAATTTCTTAAAAGCCTTCTTAATAGTAGGGACATACCTGAGATAAATTAGCAGTAAGTGGAAGCTTCAACAAGTCTAAGTCCTGTAACACTTGAAGATTTTTAGTGGTTGATCACACAAGTGTATTAGTAGATCTCTTCCGAAATCATCCTCTTACAATTTCATGTGCCACTTTTTACGTATACCTATTCATTACTGCTCTGTCCATATCTAATCTTGCCCAGGTGTTTATCTGTATACATAGAGATAATTTCAGTTAAAATGTTTAAAATTAGCATTTTAATATTGTTTACTTTTGCTGTTAAAATGGAAAGCATTTTAAAATTGTTTAAATAATTGTGTTAGCAGTGCTCTACTAATGAAGATAAAACAGATTCATGTCAGTAGGGAATATAAATTACTGTAGCTCCAAAGAAATTTTGCTGAACAGATCTAATCCCCAGTCTTTGACTTTTCTGGAAACAAGTTTTAGTTCTGAATGATTATTAGCTGATTAGTTAGGCAAAGAGCTTCCCTGAAGTTTTCTAAATTAAACAATAAAAACAACTGCAATTTACATGAAAAGTTGAATGTGTTTAGTAGGAGCTAAATAGGATGCTGATTCTCAGCCTTAGGGAATCAAAAATGTGCCAGAATGAAATGATGTTATCAAAAATATAGCAGTTAGAAAAACCATACAATTTCAGTCTTGGACCTGTAATAAATGCTTGATAAAAACCTTTGGAATCACCTCATTTGTTATACCTCTCAAAGTAACCCATTAACCCTCCAAATGGTAAAATGACTTCTGCTCAAACTCAAATTTTACCTGTATTTTATGGCTTTCAAAATAGTTTTGCCTGTTATAATTAGCCAAATGACATAAAGGAAAAATGAGACATGGGACAAAACCCAGTATAAATCCTCCCAATTCCAGGAGCTTGCTCTTTGGCAGGCCTAGAAAAGTATTTGCAACTTACAAGGAATGGGAGACATAATAGACATGTAGCCTTGGATATACACACTAAAATTCCAGTGCAAATTAATTTAGCTACCCAGAAAAACAAGACATAGTAACCATATTTGCTTGTGTAGAAGAATGCTATTCCAGCCTCTCTGTGCAGGTTGCCTGTTTTTAAATCAATTTGTTGCACCAAGTACCAACTTGACTATATATTACAGCTAAAATTTGTGTGTTACTCTTTTTTATAACACTGTCCCGTGAAATTTTATTTAACATGATGTACATATTCATCTGCTTTACTTCTGTTACCTTGTAGAATCTGTACATTTACCTCACTAATAAATTGGAAAAGAAAGTAGTTTCTATTTGTAAGCCCTTACCTGAGTCATGTAGAAAGTAACAAACTGGATCTAATAAAGATGTTTTATTATACAAGAGATCACATGTAAAATAACCAAAGACAAATATAACTTTTGATGTGTTTGTGTTCTCTACCAGCTGTTGTTTGACCTGTAATCTGCATCCAGCCTTCTGTAGCTATATCCAGCTGCAGACAGCTGTAACTTCTTTTTGTTGCATCATTCCAGGGATAAGGTCCTTCCCTGTTTCATTCTGACTTCAGGATTTGAGCAGCCAGTGTATAATATCAGGAAATCAGTACAGTTTTAAAGTGGTTAAATTCTATGAAAAACAGTATTCCATTTTATTGAAATCAATAGTTAAGTGGTTAACTTAGTTAAATTATATCCACTATGTTTGAATTTCAAATGAGAAAATAATTTTAAAAAACCAAGTTCTTTAGTAATCAGTTGTTTGGGTTTTTTTTAATACACTGTGAAACATATTTCCTAATAGATGGAAATGTTGAAGATCATGCATGTAACACAGTCCATACTTCCAGCTTTTTAACTGTATGCAGAATCACACTTGATTCTTCTAAATCACAGCATGAACTTTTGGAGAAGGCAGAGTGCTAATACTTAAAGGCTCTGACTCACTCAAAGAAAAGGTAGGCATACTGATGTACTTGATACTGAAGGCAAGATTTATACAGATGTAGGATATTGAAGTACCCAAGAGCTAAGGAGCATCTAACAGAGCAGGAGTCCAGAAGATGTGAGGAGCTGTTTTGCTCAACTGTACAGAAGGCAATTTTACTTTTAAGGGTCTTTTAGATAAAAGAACTGCAAAATGCTCGTGCATTGTTCTAATGGGTTATCAAGTGATGTAGAGGCACCAGAGAAGCGCAGCCTGAGAAATTATCATTCAGTCTCCATAGAAATGTAGGATATCAGTAAGTGGATCATGTTTTAAAAGACTTTTTTTCTTTAAAGGGAAATCCAGGGCAAAAAGGAGAAAAAGGAAATTCAGTGTATGTTTCACATTTTGGAAAAGGACCTCCTGTAAGTACTTGATTGTGAAAAAAATCATGTCTTGTCGGAAAACATGTATGACATGTAATTGTTCTCAGAACTCTTCACTGTTTAGTAAAGCTCGGTGCAGAAAAAGTGTAAAAGCAAATATACAACTGGAACAGATAGCTTATGATCTTGATAGCTATAAAGTTAGAAGACACCCACAACAAAGCTTGTAATGATTTATTTGCTAAATGATTGTTGTTACAGGGAGACAGAGGTGAGCCTGGACCCCCCGGCATGCCTGTAAGTACAGTCAGTGGGTTCTATACATGCTTTTTGTCTTGAAGATCTTTCAAATTTTCCTTCTTAGTACAGTAAAGAGATATTGGGGTTTCTCCCTGCCTGCCTTAAATAGCAAAATTCCAGAATAAATTCTAACAAACATTGAGACTCGATAGTCTGCCCCTACAACCAGGTCATGCTGGCTGAAAAGGAGCAGAAATGGACCATACCCATTTACATTAGCTGTGCATTGAGCAGTTGTCGCCCTGCTACTCACAGTTTGTAGAGTATTTTCTTGGTGAAATTCAAGATGCGTAGAGATGTGACAGCTTCTTCAGTAGTATCTGGTGGATCTCCTAAGAACACATAGCACACTACATATTTTGGTCATAAAAACATGTGAGACAAAGAGACAGTTTAATTTAGTTGCTGACTCACACTCTTAATGGCTTTGGGTTCCTCTTCTAATGCCCTTCAAAAAAATATTCACTGATGAACTGTTTCAAGTCCCCACACTGTAGCACAATTACTGACAAAGTATTCTTTTAATCCATTAATGACATATAACTATGCATTGTACAGTACTGTCCAGAAACTGGTGCTGAGCTACTCTAGTGATGGCTGTCAGGCATAAGCTTCATGCCATGGGTGGAATGCGGTGGCCAGTAGGCCAAGTGATGCAGGCATTTTGGAGGGACTAGCTTTGTGGAGAAAAGGGTAAGCTCTTGGTATTTTCACCAACAGACCTTTTGCCATCTTTTCCAGGGACCCAGAGGGTCAAGAGGTACAACGGGCCCATCTGGATACCCAGGCCAACCAGGCTTGCCTGTAAGATCACCACAGTACACAGCCTTGCATTTTCAGGATATGCATAAACTCTGGTCTACCAATTTTAGAACTTGCCTTGATGTGAATCAAAGCCTAGAAATAACTTCTGAGGCAGATAATAAAAAGAGAGATTTTTGCCTTACCTTATGAGTTTGGAAGTTCAGGAATTGGAGTGTATGTTGTTCCTTCCCATGCCTGTGTGCACATTTCATCCTGGCAGTCTGTGGTCACAGAAGAATACTGTTAGTGCTCTCTCCTTATTCCCTTTCCCTAAGGTCACCTTGAGCGGGCAAGAAAGTGGGAAGGCAGAGTTCAGCCCTCCTGAAAGCAGTGACCAGGGAAAGAAAATTGCACTTTGGGATAGGTACATCCCAAGAGGAAATTTTGCCTCTAGGTGCTACTGGCAAGAGGATGTAACTTTCAAAGCAAAGCTGTCTCTAAATCAGACATACTAACTTGTCTTTGTTCTCTTTTAAAGGGTATTCCAGGTTACCCTGGTTTGCCAGGAGAACAGGTAGGCAATAACTTTTCCTGAAGGTAGTGAAATAATAGAATAATTTATACAAATATTTGAAATGTCCCTTATGGTAATTTGTTGTCAAGTTTTTCAAAGGAGTTACTTGATTTTCTGATTATTTATAAACTGTGTACATTTTTTTGTCAATTAGGGAAATCCAGGTATTGGAGTGGATGGACAAAAGGGGGAGCCGGTAAGAAATATTACTAAAGAAAACAAATATTATAAAATATATTATTGCTGTAGAATTGGAAGTATAATAGAGTCTTGTTGGGTTCCCTGGAACCCATTCACTTGTGGCTCTGTGCTCCCACGAACCATGTTAGAATGGAGGGAGAAGTAATACGTTACTGAGTCAATTCTGTGCAGAAGTGATTCCTTCAGTGAGCTGCATGGAGGAATCAGGTGTATTCTGGAGGTTTTGAAAGGCAACAATTACCTTCTGTACAGACACTGCCTAAATAATCACAACAGTACCCTTCAGTAACAGTGGCTGTACCAGATCAGTCACTGAATCTCATCTCTTGCTATGTCCAGCAACAGATGCCAAGGAAAGTGTAAGAAAAGAACAAACACATAATAATAGTTCCTCTGCCAGTCTCCACCTATTAGCGTACTCAGGACTTATAGAACCAATGTGGAATATTTTATTTTTCTTCTATGAATTTGTCCAGTCACTTCTTAGAATTTGTGCAAGTTTCTAACATGCACAACTTTCCACAGCAAATCAGTGATTTCATCTTTACATCCACAAAGCCTTGTGCTCAAAGGCTTCGGTCTGGAACACGAAAGACTGTATATACACACAAGGGATTTGACAGTCCTGCACCTATCTCCACAGCAGACTCAGAGCAGGAGCCATGAGTACAAAGTTCTCATTTATTTCCTTATCTTTAATGACTGAGTAGAATAGGAGGGGATTAAGATCGTCAACCTTGCTCATCTGGGAAGACAGTAAAGAGGCTTACAGATCTCAGTACAAACCTTTATGTATCTACAGGTGTTTGTACATGTTCAGTGAGTACAGAAATAGGTAGTGCTGTAGTACAACAGGAAAATATGCTGAGTCTCACTGAAATGCACATGGAACAGAATGTCTCTCTGCTGTTCCTCTGGCTTCCACAGGGTGACATTGGACTTCCTGGGCCACCTGGGTCACCACTCTTAGTTGGACCTCCTGGAGCTCAGCTGTTCAAAGGAGAAAAGGTGTTAATTTGTCTTCATATTTAACTATGCTCAACCTGGCAAGTACAATCCTGTGATATAATTTTTGCAAGGATGGCATAGGACAAATCTTTTTTTCTGTAATAAACCATCAGCCTCAGCAGAAAACCTGTTTTTCAGCACCCTTCCTACAGGCTTTGAGGAGAGGAGAACCCATGTGTACTTTAGCTCATGTCCTTGAGAGAAGGCTGTCTTGATGCAGAAAGGAGATACTGCCCTTGCTTTAGGTTTTTTTTTCACTTTTTGTCATTAGCAAATCATATTTCACGCATCTCATGTAAAGTTGGTTACTCAGCTATTGAATCTCTTTTGCAGGTCTTCTCTAACATTTTTATTTTTCAGATTTTTGGCAATCATTCTCTTTGAGATTTCTCCAATGTAATGTTTTCAACTATCCACGCTAACCCTTCTAGGATGCTCTTTTAATATGAAAATTACCTGTGATTTTTTTGTCTATTTTTAATCCAAGTTCCTGTTATTTACTGCACTTCCTCAATAACATACCTACTGTAGCCACAGTTGTGTACCTTAAAACATTAGAATGTTTGTTTAAAAAGAACCAGAGTTACAAAAATTGCATTACAGAGCCCTATATTGGAGTCTCTACGTCTTGCATGTATGTAGGAACAAAGCCCTGAATAGCAGGTCCCTGCAAGTAAAAAGATATATCTGTCTCACTCCAATGTTATTACGCTGGTTTGACAGTGTTAACAGAAATAAAAATCAGTACAGAATTGTTTTTCTTGTTTTTCTTCTGCCTAGTACACCTAGAGGAACAGGCCCAGTGCTTATGAAAATACTATATAACAGTTGTAATTCAGAACAGGACTTAAAAAATGTTAAACAGCACATAGGCATGTCCTGCATATTGATATACACAAAATCTTCCCCTGTATACATAGGGCCAAAAAGGACTACCTGGTGTAACAGGATACAGAGGGCCACGTGGACCTAAAGTAAGTTATGTGATATATTTTTATTTTTTTTTCATGGTGCTGGCAAAGTCCTTCTGTGGTTATTAAGTTACTCTTTTAAAGCAAAAGGTGATGGAAGAAATAACAGCATTTGTGCTATGAAATTTAATCACCACCTAAAGCAGTGTGAAAGCAAAAATATTTCAAAACCCTTTGGAAAATCTTTCTGAGTCTTGTTTTATACATACCTGTTGAATGTTGCCTGGTAGTGAAAGGTCAATGTTGTTTCCAGTTGGGTTATTGACACGTAATGGACTGGGACTGTGAAGAAAACAGAAGCACAGATTATTTTTTTCTCAGGAAGAGAAATAGAGAAGAACTGTGTGTGTTCTTAGTGGGGCATGATGTATGTTTCCCTAAGTAAATCTAACTTCACATTATGGATATCCTCAAGAGTAGAGAAGGCAGAGCTACCTGCTTGGAGAAGGAGTTGCTCTTTACTGTCTATTCTACATTTCCTTTTCTTTCTGTCAGCATGAATAATTTAAACATTGGTGTGCCAGTAAGGAGTTCCTGGATAATGAGCAGAAGCAGCCACAAAAAAATTCTGAAGTCTTTATTGCTAATAGAGTTAGAGGAGGAAGATCCACAGGCAGAAAACTACCAGATCTCAGAAAAAAAAAAGAAGATAACTGGGGACAAAAGAATAAGTCTAGTTTATGTTAAAAACTTATTTATCTTTGTAGGCAGAAGGAAAGAAATGAGAAGCCTGAACATCACATTTCTGAATTCTAAGTTAGCACTTTTTCAGAAATTCATTTTCCATCACAAAAGGAGCACTTAGCACTGGAAAAGGAGACAAACACGGTCTTTTTATATCAGATATACTTTTAAAAAGATGGGCTTTATATGCTTGTTGCAGTACTAGATGTCTGTGTGGGTAGTCTTGTTAGTTATACGGAGGAACTGAGAAATTGACTGATGCAGCCCAAAAGATGCCCAGAGCTTAAAATAAACAAACAAATAAGAAACTGCTGAAAGCACATTAGGGTTGGAGAAGAGACCATAGCAGGTTCCTGGAATAACTGAAGCTATGCAGGCACTGCTAGTGGTGCTGTATGAAGTAAGCCCCAGTGACTGAGCCTAGCAAGTGAAACAACATCCATTAACCTAGTATATACATAACTTGATAAACATGCACAAAAAGTAAAATTTATGGCAAACTTCACTGAGCATCTTGTTTAATCAAAGTATTTTGAATGCTCCAGGGTATACTTGGGAGAGGAGAAAAGGGTGAAAAGGGTTTTCCTGGATTCCCTGGATTGCAGGTAAGGAAGTTGCAGAATAAATTACTTCACAAATTCATTATAATTAGGTTCATAATATACTTGGCAGTTTAAGTTTGCATTTCCAAGGAAGATTTTATGGATTTTTTAAAGTAATCTATCATACATTCTGTATAGAATATTTAGGAGTCCTGCCCTGGGACTCACCCTGTCTCAGACTTAAACATAAGCTCATACCGACTTTCTGTCCTTGGAAAGACAGTAAATGTGTGGGGTTATCCTCTAAATATTTAGAGCTGTACAAAGCTGCTCTGGAGTAGCACAGAACTAACACAGTAATTTTAATGTATTCCATACATGCCAATGGCAGTTTTTTACAGAAGCTTGTGCTTGATTTGCTTAACAGTGCTCGCATGGAGTGACATGTTCACTACTGTGCTTTGTGCAATATGATAAAAACATTAAGTGAAGGCCTGTCTGGTTTACTTTGGTCTATAGTTGAAACTCATGCCCATCTCTCATATAAAGTATTTGCAAATACTTTGCAAAGTTTTTGAGCAATATCCCAAGTAGTAATTATCTGAGGAACATTAACTGCTCAGCAATTCTGAGTAGGTGTAATTTTGAATAAGGTTTTACTGTTTTGGCTCACATTCTACTTGCTTTTATCAGGGCAGTCCTGGTTCTTATGGACCTGCAGGTTTTCCTGGAATGAAGGTAAGAAGACGTAAAGTATAAGCACCTCCCTGAACAGTGGGATCAGTGAGATTTAGTTTCCTGTGGATTTGTGCAGATTTGGAATTTCCACATACTTGATAGCTCACGTTGCATTCCTTCATTTCTTTCCTGCTACCTGTTGCCACAGAAGCTGTATGAACTCTTTGTCTTTAAATTTCTGCCACTCAGTAATTTGGCTGAAATTGGCTAATGGGATCTGAAGTTGCAAGCAGGAGGAAAAGCCAGTGAGACAGGCATATAGCACAACAGAAAAGTTATGCAGCATGTTAAGTTTGTTTGCCACGGTGACATTGCTTGTGAAATTTTGTGTTACGCATGTTTTGTTCCTCTTTCTGGCTCCAGTTTTGCTGGTAAGTCTGCAAAATGTTATGAACTTACCACATCTTACTGGAGTAAAGAACAACAGATGTAGGTATGTAGATCTACATCTTGCCCTTTTTCTTATTTCCTCTCCCCATCTCGTTTTCAAATCTAGTTAAGGTAATGGTCATGCTATTCATAAATCACATTAATGTACAGATATTTGCATCTAGAGTTATGTTCCAAGTGACTGTTTTATCTGAAAAATTACTGTTTACTTTGTTTTTTTTACCACTGCCTACCTAAAGAGTTTGAATACTGGATGGATGAGTATATTAGTAGATCATAAAAGGAGAGGAGGAGCTGATATGCAGCTGCTTTTCACGCAGTAATAGTTTACGAGGGTCATTCAGCAGGCAGCAAACCAATTTCAGCTGTATTAAGCAGACAGTCTATTAGAGTCTGCTGGTGTGTATTCCAGCTAGTTCTGTGCCCCAGCTATACCGAATCAGCTGACCACTGTCTAAATAACCTGGCGATACCTGTTGTGGGGTTTTTTAATAGAAGAGATTCTATGAAACATACCATCTTTTGTACAAACGTAGTGAATTTTCTGAAACAAACTGCGGATGCTATTATAGCACGACAGTATTGTATGACTTCCTTACTGGTGTTTGTTCAATTAATTATATTAACATCTTAACAGATTAATCAAATTATATTTATGTGATCCTTTCCAGGGGGAACCAGGATTTGCTGGTTTTCCTGGACAACCTGGCTATCCAGGCATACAGGTAAAAAACCCAACAAACACCTATACTCACTCCCCTATATAAATGCTAATGATTCCTCCCAGATGTACCATCTTATCAGACCATTTCCTTTTATACAGTCATAATTACTTCTAAGATTTGCTGTTTTCATGATAGTCATAGTTACTTAACACTGTGGTAGTAAATAACATTATAAATAAACATTACTTGGTGCATATGAGAGTGGGAATTCCTTTTTGTGTACCACAGGAATTGGTTAATCGCAATTGCCCATAGTTAACTCTAACTATACCAGTATAGCTATCTGATCCATCAGTTGTAGTACTCTGCAAGTTATTCATGGTTGAGCTACATCCCCAGAGAGGTATGCTAGGTAAAGGAACCTGCTATTTAGGTAATAGTACAAGCCTATAAACTTTAGTCTATGAACTACTATGATAATTAGCACCAAATGAGGTGGCAAAATTTGATTCAGATGGGCTTGTTTGCGTGACTTACCAAAATCTCTTTGCACATGTTCAACCTGTTCACATAAGTGGCTTTTCCAAGATGTTTACCAGAATGGAAATTGGACTGCTTCACACCAGCTTTGTTTAAACATTTTCTACTTTTGCTCACTTAGGTGATGCTAACCATTTTTAATTTTACAATACATGCTGCTTTGCATTAGAGATTAGAAGTGTGTCACATCCGGGGAGCTAAGCAGAAAAAGAGGAGAATATAATCTGAAAATTATGGAAGAAATGCTTAATACACTTTCAGAAGACCCAGATGCCAGTCTAGTGACATTTCAGGATATAAATTTATGGAATTCTCTTCTACAGGCTGCAGAACCCATGATCATATTGTAATTCTGACTACTGGATCATATTGTAATTCTGACTAACAACAAAAACTTGAATGAAGGGAACTATTGTATTTTCTATGGAATCTAGAATGCTAACACACATCCAGAATGAAAAAACAGTTCTGGATGCTGCTACAGAAGGAGCAAAGCAGCAGTGAGTCTAGCCTGGGGGGAGGTCTAGGGAGTCACTGGGATAGAGTCCAAGTGGTCAGCAGTGTATGAGCAAGAGGAGAAGTGAAATGCTGCAATGAAGAAGGTGGGTGACGGAATCATCAGTAGAGACAGCAAGGTTGAAAAAGCTCATCATCAAAGTTATTACCACAGTACAGTGGACAAAAACAATATTGCAGAAATTGCAACATTAATGAACTTGGCTCTAAATATTCTGAAATACAAAAGTCAAGTGTTTTTTTCCCTCTGAAATAATATTTTTGGAAAGCTGCATATAAAACACTAACTTTTCTTAAACCACAATTAGTTGCACCTGTGAAATCAGAGGAATGACACTCGAGATTTAAGCAAGATTCACCTCTGTTATAAATTGAAGGTTAAGGTAGGAACACACTCTACATAATCTGTGATGACAAAAGGAAGTAGACTGTGGCTAGTCCAAACTTGCCCTAAGTAGTATACTGCTAAAGACACAGTTGAAAGCAGACAAATAAAAAGCAACAAACAGGTTTTTAAGAAGCAGGTTTACAAATGAGAAATGACGAATGTGAAGTAAATAAGTACAATAAAAACATCTGTTTTAATTACAGGCTTACTTGTTTCAATGTTAGGACTGCCAGGAAAGTGCTAGATCAGCTTCTTCAGCCAAGATTTAATTTATGTAGTCATACTTGGGGGGGGGGGCGGTGAGGGGCAGGAATTGCCCATGGATATTAATTTTTCTCCCATTTGGTCATTATCAGCTTTACAGCAATGTGGGATCATTCAGATACTAATTAGACAGAAACATTGCATGTCTTATTTAAACAGAAAAATCATTACAGTCCATTACTTCCCAAAAGTAGAATTAAACTTCAAGTGTTTTGTTGTTAAAAAGCAGTACTCACCCTGATGTGCATATTGTTTTAGTTGGGGGCATCATTAACAAACTAGAGACAAGACACTGTATAGACAGAAAAGTGCATTCTTCAGTCTCCGTTGATTAGCCCACAGCCTGAGAAGTCATCAATTAATGCTACAAACAGTAAGCAAAAAATAATTAATTGTTGGTAGATTATGCTAGGGAAAAGTTTGAATGCCTGCAGTAATGATTTAGAAAGATGAAATTACAATTGCTAACACATGAAGCAAAGAAAATGGATCAAGTATAGACATAACATTAAAAAAACCAGGTAAACTCTATACAGATACGCAAAATTTGGAGTGATTGCACAAATGCTGTAGTTTTGCTTGGGAAACAATTGGATAAATCTGATTATTCCTGAAAAGTGCAGATCTATCTAGACTGCATCAGCTGTTCATCTGGCCTCACCAGGTGATGCTTATGATCTAAAAATCACAAACTGAAAGAACAAGAATAGGGTTAAAAGCCCTCTGGAGAATAGCCCATCCTCATGTAGATTTTTTGAAATAAACACATTCAAAGAGACTCTAAGATGCATTCAGATTTAAGAGACTCAGAAAAAAACCCGAGTTGCATTCAAAGTAGATTTCATCTTTAAAAAACGTTAGCTGTTGCTTAAAGCAAAGAATGGACTTCAAGGAATTGTTGGCATACCTTGATCCCTGAGTCTGGACATTGGCAACACTGTGTGGATCTTGAACAGGAGCCAGCAACATGCCCTTGCTGCAAATGCAGGAAACAATATCCTGGGCTACATTAGGAAAAGTATTGCCAGCAGGCTGAGGGAGATGATCCTTGCCCTCTGCTCAGCACTGGTCTCCATCCTTGTAGATATTCTAAAGCTGGACATGGTCCTGGGCAACCAGCTCTAGGTGGTCCTGCTTGAGCAGCAGGGTTGAACAAGATGACCTCTAGAGGTCCCTTCTAAATAGACCTCAACCCTTATGTGATAAATGTGAAAAAAACGGAGAATGCCTTCTTCAGACAAAATACAAGGGAGGATATGAGTCTTATCACTCTGAGACCATTTGTCTCTGCTGCTAATGGAATGAGTCTCATTAAAATAATGAATGGTCTTTACAGGCAGTGCAAAATATTCTTGGCCATTGACATTATATAAAGCTATAGAAACTTACAGAACAAATACAGTGTTTAATGCTTAATAGGGATATCAGCAAAACTGGTAAGTGATTATAAGCTTTCATTTTAAGAAGACTCCAGGTCACAGAATACAGTAGATACATGCTTCTGTTGGTTTTGGCATTTTAATTTTTTTTTTAATAGGCTGTTGGCAAGTCTCCTGAAATTTTTATGGGAAGAGAAAGTAATCCAAATGTGTACATGCCACTATGTAGGAGCATACCAACAGTGAAAAAACAGCAAATATGAAGCTGCCATCCAGAGAGGGTCATAAGACCTAAGAGCCGAAAGACAGAGATTTTCAGAGACCACCTCTGAAATTTGTCACTCAGGGAGATACCAGGAAGTGAAATTTTTGACCTTGGCTCATTGACTCTTCATTTCTTTCTTGTGTTCTGGTTGTGTCATTTTAAAATCAGCATGAAAGTCATGTAAGACTTGAGCCATATCCATCTATTGTACAAATCTTTGATACTTTTATCATCATTAAATTAATTTTAAATCTCAAAATAATTTGTCAGTTTATCAGAGGAGGAAAAATGCTAGGTTTATTTTTTCTTTCCTGCCACACAGAAGACTCTTCTATGTCATTAGGGAAGACAAATTTACGTTCCTGTTTAAAATAGCCAAAGATGACACAAGGATATTATTTCATTCTGCAAGGTACAGTCAAAGGAAAAAAGGCCAGCCAAAAGGCCAAAGTCAAGAGGACAGCAGCCAGTGACAGCTCCAGAACTGTTTAAATATTGTAGAGATAATTATGTTCTAAAAAAGCCCAGAAAGAGGCATGGACTCCATGTTTTTGCTTCTGTAAGAACTGGTATCCAGTTTTGCAGTCCCAGTTCTCCTTGTGTGTGTCCTAAAAGGCCCTGAACTCCAGTCCCAGGAATGTAACCTCACTACGCAGTTCCCACATTCACATTCTTGTTTTCTCAGTTCCCCTTTGCTGCAGAGAGCTAGGCTGACTCCCAATCTACAAAGCAAAAAGTCTAATACAATTTGCACATAAAAGACTTCCCTAAAGTCCACTTCACTTGCAATTCTAAATATGTAAATCCCATCTAATTTAGAAATCCTCCAAGCAGAAGTGATTTTCCATGCCATTAGTAGGCACTTTTATGTTTCCCTGATGCAGATGTTTTAAACTTCTTATAAGAGCTTTGAGTATATCTGTCAGACTGTGAAACCTCTTTTCTTAATGCTTATCTGTCATTGTAGAAGTAATTTCCAAATTCTGGTATTGAATTTTAAGGGAAATTATTACAGCTTGGTTGTTACATCAAAACATCTCAATTAAATGGGTACTGATTTACTGTATCTTTATCTTTACAATAAATGATTGAAATCAAATACAGCAGTCACAAGTTCTGAAGAGTCAAATAGACATGTGCAATAGGTATATTACTGTTTAGTTGCTGGTATCCTGAAAGTTATATATTATTTTAAATCTTTTTGCCTGGTTTTAAATGCTATAAAGTGACAAAATTGAGTTTCCTAGGTGATATGTGTCACATCCTTACATACCCCACCATTGTAGAAATTTTCAGTTACATGCTAGCACACTGCATATTTGTATCTATCAGTAAAATTTACTGTTGGACTCTTACAGGGGGATCCAGGAGAAGAAGGGCCCCCAGGTCCTCCTGGAGCTGTTGGAACTCCACCACATCCTATAAAAGGTTAGAGCTAGTTTTAACTAGTCTTCCTGCTGTATAAAGCGTGTAGGACCTATTTTGCTAAGGTGTGTGAAAGTGATCACTAGGGATTCAGGGGACAGGGTCCTAAAATGTTATCTTCCTAGTGGCCGCATTTGTTTGTTTGTTTGTGTCTTACTGATCTTACTGGAACTGTGTTGAACATAGAAGTTTCAGATCAAATGCTTGCTTGAAAGATCTTTATGCATACAGTCACAGCTAGATTTGCAGGACTATCCCTAGTTATTTGACCTACACATATTTAAGAAAAACCTATGAAAAATAAGCCCATTCTGGATAATGGATGACAAATAAGAAAACTGGCCTTCCCATTTTAATTCAGAATTCCTATTTTTCAGAATTGCCACAACACACATATTTTAGACTACAGTTCAACTTTGTTTTGCATAGCAGGGGTGAAATCCTGGAACTAGTACTCCCAACAGAATATTTGTCAATCTTACTACCTTCCTGCCTAAACCTCAGGCTTCGTTTTTATGTTCCAGCTCCCTTTATCCCCATCTTTATCACCTAATTGGTGAAAAGGTGTGTGGAAGTTCTTATTTGATAGCAGGAGACAGTAGGGAACAGCTAAGCCTGCTGCCTGGAAGGGATTTGCGTTGGCATCTCACATTTGGGGAACCTGTTATTTTAAGGACATTTTAACAGAGAACTTACCATAAATTCTGTTTCTAGTGCAGCAAATGCTGATCATGAACACAGAAGTAAGTTACAACACAACCCCAGCTCAGCAGAACCTCCCCATTAGATAGGGGCCTCATCCAAAAATCAGTTAAATTTGTTTTCCATCAGCTTCTGTGTTTCCAGCCCATGCAATGGAAGACTTAACCCCATGCTTAATATCTCAAGTCACATTTAAAGTTAATCATGTGCATGGTGTGTGAGTGGATACATTCTTCAGAGAAAGAGGCTTTTAGCAGAATTGTTTGAGAACAGAACTACTACCAGTATTTTGGTTTTCCAATTTAATGAAGGCCTGTATATCCGATTCAAGTTTTCTTTATCACTGTGTAATTGCAATTTTTAAATGTATACATTATAGCAATATTGAAAATATACTTTTTAAAATTCAGATAATTTCAGCTAGGATGAATCTGAAATTAGCTCCCTGTGTGCACTGTCAAATATGTGTAACATGAGATGCACAGTTATTTTAAATGTTACATGTATTTACTTTGGGCAAACACTTCTTTCGACATTCTGAAATATATAGCACAAAGATCCTACTACGGAATGACAAAGAGTTAAAACCGTGCCCATGAAATGGGCAGGAATCCGTAGAAAAGTAACCAAATCCTCCCACCGTAAAATTAAATTGTAACACATTTAAAAATGTTTCATAAAGACAAAAGAAGTTACTATATTTTACTATATTTTACTTTTGTGTAGTTCCCAAATTATAATTTAATTTAGACTTAAGCTGTCAATTGCATAAACATTGTTCACATGTTTTTGTAATTCTGTGTAGGTCCACAAGGAGATCCTGGATTTCCGGGTCCTGCTGGTGATATGGGGTCAGTTGGACCAAGTGGTCCTGCAGGCCTGCTAGGAAGACCAGGAGATGATGGAACAAGTAAGAGAAGTAGTGGATAAAACGTGAACTATATGCCAGTAGGAGAGAAAGCAGCTAAAAGAAAACTGTTCTTTGTTCTTGCTTGATGCAAATCACCAACAGTAAGGATTTCAGCTCTACAGAGAGTTCAATAAAAATAATTAGCTCAGCACTTAGTGGCCAAAATGATCCAAACAGAACATCAGGAATTACTAGAAAAGTAATAGAATATAAAGCAGAATGCTACTATGCACTATAAATCTATGGTATGTCTTATCTGGAGTGCTGTGTTCAAAAATTCTATTCTTCATCTCAGAAAGATATAAAGGAAGGTGATGAGGATGACTTTGTTCTGTATAAAGAATATAAACAACTGGAATAACTGGGATGTCTGGAAAAGAAATAATGGGGAGGAGGAAAGCAGCGTTTGAAGGTCTAAAGCAGGAGCCCATTTTCCTGGGAATCCTGGAAAACCTAAAGCTTTAGATTTAAGTCTTCATTGTATAGAAGGTCTTCTTCAGGACAGTTCTGAATGGTCTGTAATTTCCTGCTTGATATCTTGTAGTAATCATTACTATGAAGCTATATGGGCCATATACCATTATTTTTTTATAGGTCTGCCTGGCCTGCCAGGAGTAAGTGGGGCACAAGGACCTCAGGGTTTTCAAGGTGACCCTGGTTTCCCTGGAACAGGTGAATCAATCCCAGGAAGACCTGGGTTTCCTGGACCACCAGGCCTACCAGGACAGCCAGGAAGACAAGGCTTACCTGGACTACCCAGTAGGTTCAATGCAATTTATATGGCAAGAATATCATTCTGCATATTAATAGATTAACTTCTTTTGTTGGTCCTACAAAAATGGTAGAAGTGAAAAGCGTATTTTGGCAGATATATCAAACTTTACATATAACGTAGAAAGCATGTTTTTCCAATTAGTTGTTGATCACTGAGATTCCAAGATTTTCATTGTTGTCTCGGTGATTTAAACCCACAAAGTAATATGTACGAGAAACACCCCTACAAAAATCTATCACCTAAAGTTAAAAACACACACACTGGGGAGGAAACCCAAGTCAGCATCCTTTAGTAAAGAAACAAGAGTTGTAAAGTTCTGCAGTGGAAGAAGGAAGAAGTAATGGCAATAAAACCCCAACATGTCAACATCAACTCTAGCAAGACTGACTCTTGTAGTATGATCTATAAACAACAACTTGTAAAACATTTCATAAGTTCTCTAGCTTTTCATGTAAGGATAACAAGATAAGGAAGCAGAGAACATGTGACCTAAGCTGTGGAAACGGTCAACCTGGTTTATAGTAGCTGTACAATTTGTTTTTCCAAAGGTGTAATCTGTACTGACAGAGGGATCCCTGGAGAACGTGGAGCAAAAGGTCAGATAGGTCTTCCAGGAAGAAAAGGTGAAAAGGGAGAAAAGGGTAAGTATGCCTGGATAGGAACAATTTGAATATGAGACCCTTGCCAGCTACGTCAGACCTAAATTTGCAAGTTTATGCTAACTTAGAGGATAAGGCCCATCAAATTGTGGAGTTAAATGGCATTTTGGCATTGGGACTTCTAGTCAGTAGAGTTATTGGGGCTTCTAAGTCAGTAGTCATGTCATGCAGCAGTTATTCAGCACTGTAAAAAGACTGATGTGTGTCACTTCTTGGAAGGCCATAGTGAGATAAAATGGTCTGTGCACTACTCACACAGAAAAAGAGCAATGCTATTTTTTGTGTATTAATTTTGCAACAGTTTCAATGTAATTTTGACATTTTCACATAGGAAATCAAGGCCTCTGCTCATGTAGTGCTGGTCCTCCTGGTCCCCGTGGTAAGCAAGGACCTCCAGGCGCTCAAGGACAGAAAGGACAAATGGGCTACCCTGGAAGACATGGAGAAAAGGGCGACCCGGGCTTACCTGGTGCAATAGGTTCACCAGGGCTCCCTGTGAGTAGTTTCCATGAGCTTCAGTAAATAAAAACCATCAAGTTACCACTTACGCTGGAGGCATTTAACCAGACGGGTGGAGGAACTACCCTGGAAAACTATCTGAAAATTTTATCTACTTTTGCTTATTACAGTCTTGTGGAGGATGCATTTTATTAGCTTCTATCTGATTTTTCCTTGCAGCAGTGGGCAGTGTTTTACACTGAGAGACAGAATCCTATTCTGCATTTGTGAGGTGGTTAGGAGGCCTTGGAAAGCTGGTGAATATTCTGTTTTGACTTGTTTTTCGTTTGGTTTTGAATACTCATTGTTTTTCTTGAAAACATTGTAGATGCACAAATTGCTCCACTGAAGATGATTTTTCAGTTATTTCAAAGGAAGGCATTTCCAGCAAAACCTTATCAAGGCAAAGAATTGCATGATGTCAGCAGGTCGAGATGGCTTTTATGTCAACATCCACGTCGGGGCGGAGGGCAGGGTCTGAAGAAAATGGAATCCTTGATTTTATTCAGGCATTTCAAGTCATTTTTTTAATTCCTTTTTTTAGAAATTAATTGAAAAGCTTAATTTATTTGATATGCTTTATTTATTTTATGAGGCAGTCTGAACATAATGTAGAGTCTTTCACTCCCACAGAGTCTGAAAGGCATTGCTATTTGTTCGTGTTTCTCCCTTTACTGTTCCATATAACTTTATAATCTCCCATTTTCAGTCACTACTCAGCCAAGGTTTGTTCTCCACAAGGATCAGCCACTATAAGCAATGCATAAAGACTTTTCATTTGTTTGAGTGGCTTCCTTACAATGTAACAATTTCATTTCAAGTTCCTCAAGAGCAGAAACTGAACTAACTTTTCAGTAGTAAAGATTCTGAGTACTCAAATCATTTGACATCAGCATAGAATGTTCATTTTTTCCCAAGACTAGTTCGTTCCAGCGTTTACAAACCTGACATTCAGTTTTTCATGGAAAAACCCTATGAAGATTTTTCATGGCAAGGTGGGAGAAGGAAAATAATTAAGAAATATTTAAAAGGTACCTTTAGGTCAGATGTGTATTTCTACTTTAATATTGGCTGTCGGCATGATTAACAAACAAAATAAATTTGAGCTCAAGACCTGTATGTTTCCTGGGTCAATAATTTACTGGTGCTGCTTGTTGCCTAACTCAGTGAAACTAGTTATTACTTTTGGAAACAGACTTACTTTCTTTAATGTGCTTCATATAGTTTATCTTATTCCCCCAGTGAGCAGTAATTCAAAACACCAGTTACTCTTAACTGCTTTAGGAACGCATTTTAAGATGATTTATTTGACTTGCTATGATTTTCATCCACTTGTTCTGGTCTGGCATGTGGACTGTACATCCAGGATGCTGCATACCAAAATGATGCCAAATAGAAGGTTTTTTTAATATACTTTCCTGTGTGTGAGAGCAATTTCTTTGAAAATATAGGTAGATGTGTTTGGCTTTATGACTGTTCCATTATGGCTTTTTTTGTTGGTTTGTTTTTTAGGTTTTGTTTTAATAGCAGAACTCTTTTTCACATGAGGAATTGGTTAAAAGTCTGCAGAACATTTTCTTTCAAAATAAAAAAAAAACCACAAACCAACAAAAAAAACACAAACACAAAACAAAACCATTGTGAGACTGAAGAAAGGAGGTGGAAGGGCTCTGTCATTCTAGTTCCAAAGGTTTCCTTACAAGCTTTGCATTTGTTTTTATTTTTCTTTTCTTAGAATCCTATTACCTGAGTGGATTATGTGAGATTTCGTTCTGTTTGTTACTTTTGAAAGTATGCTTTAGCCCTTGTGGTTCTGAAGTAAAGCTTGACGCCTTGTCCTTAGCACTTCAGTGTTCTTAGGTGACTTAAGTAAGAAACAGAGACAAAGTCATCAGTTTGGAGAGAAAGAATTAACTTTGCTACAGAAGTGCTTTGCTCTAATGGATTTCTACATATATATACTTTTTCCATTTTTCTGCTCTTCTTTTCTTGCCAAATATCTCATTTTGCTTTTCAAACACTAGTAACTGGTCACTGCTAACTTGAAGATCTTAACATTTTAACAAATAGTCACTACTAGTTTCAGAAGTCTCCTGCCTGTTTTACAATTGCCATGATTTACAATCACTTTATAAATTGTATTTTCTCCACCTATTTCTCAGTGAAAGATTTTGAATAACAGAGGAAACAGGCTAAATAGGTTTTTCAACCTCAGTGGCTTGTGTAAATTTCACACGGTAAAATATATTTACCCACATGTACTATTGCAAGATCAGACCCTCACCAATTATGATACACAAACCACGCTCTGCTTGGAGAGCTGAAAACACAAATCAGCATAGAAATACAGAAAAGTATTTATATATATATATATATACAGAAAAGTATCTGTTCCACTCTAAATCTGTCAAGTCATAGATTCTCCTGACAATTCCAGTTACCTAACTAGACGTAGATGAAATCTTTTATTGGCAGCTTTGTGGGCTTTCACTCAGCAAAAAAGCATCACTTACCTACTGCCATATTCATGTTTGGGAGGACAGCCTCATCCAGCAGTCACTGCACTCCTGAGATTCCCTTCCTCTGTAGCCTCAGGAGATTGTGGATCAACGTCTGCAGTGGGAAGAGTTTGTGAATTGTTTGTATCTTAATATTCTTGCATTTACAGACACAGCTGTATACGGCTGTGGACCCAATTCTTCTAGCATTACAATTTCTTATAGTTGTGTATCTGTGCATTTGGCAGAGTCAGGCTGAAAAGGCGTGCCATTCATACACCTCCTTATAGACGTCAAGAGAGATAAGTGTTTCTTGTTGGCATGTTACTGTAACTGGTCTGGTTTTGGGAAACAATTGAAGAGCAAGAGATAGATAGCTAATTTTCCCCTCAATTCCCACATTGATTCCTTGCTGGAGATAACTAACAATTTTTTAATTTTTTTTTTTTTGCCAATGGTAAGGGGACACCCGGCTCTGCTGGACAACATGGTGAAAAAGGAGAGAAGGGTGATCCAGGAAGAGTTAGAATAAAAGGTAAACACATATTTTATCATTAGCCTTTTTGTTTCCTATACAATGCCTAGGCAATAGTGCGAGAAAGCCATATTCGTCTTCCCTTAATAGTCATTAGTAACTTACTGAAGCCTAGCAGTCATGCATATTCGAACTGCTTTCTCAGTACAGTCTCATTCATCTTCTTGCTAAGCAAAGATCAGGACAGTGTTTTCTGGTTTTTACTCTATAGTTAAGCCATAAAACAGTTTTAACAGCTTGTTATTAATGCTAACAATTAATAAATTACTTTTCATGTCATGTGATTACTAATCAGGGTCTTACAGAGGTTTGTATAGCAAAGACTAAGTGGAATACAATTATTGTTAAGACGTGAAGAAATATTATTGTACAGAAGCCACCTCCTGAAGTGTCACATGCCAGTATCCCAGCTGTTATCTCAAATTAAACCACCAGCACTTTTCTTGGGGAAAAACTCAAGTCTCAATGGCTATTCAGATTCCCACCCCTATGTCTAAAAATTACTCTTGACCAGGCATTGAAGAGAAACAATAGGCCATCTGTTCCACAACTGAACTTCTTGTAATTAAATAGATCAAAACCTTTCCACAGTTATGGTTATGATTTGCAAAAGAAAGAGAACAACAAATTACAGCAATCTGATGGCAAAGCTTTGTTAGAAATGCTAAACTAATTATTCAGACAAAAGATTGTCCATCTTATTGTTTGTGAAAAGTTAGCTTAGCTTTGGATGCACGTGTTAGTTTATAGATGTTGCAACAGGACAAAATATTTGCCGTTTATTTGCAAAGGATTTCTTGACAGAGCAAAATGAATCTTTGGGCTAGAACAGTTTTATTGTCCTTTATGCAAAACCTACATTTTCATAAATAGCAGTGCAATAGAAATTTAGGGGTAAAAAAAGAAAAAACCCCAACCTTTTGGGAATATTGATGCAAATATTCTGCATCACATGGCATTGCTATATCCTGATTTCACTGAAATCAAGAATAAAACTGACGATTTCAATATCAAAATATTTTCACTCTGTATACAGCATGAACAAAAGCCACGTTCTTTTACAGATCTTTTACACAAAGACCAAGTTGTTCCATGAGGTGTCCAACCACATACTGCCTCCCTAAGCCTAAAATACCTCATTAAGGAAATGTAAATTCAAGAACTGGAAATTAACATACAGATATGGTAAATGGTTACCCAGCAGTTACCTGAGCAGAAATAAAAAAACCCCAAACTTACTGCAAATATTATACTTCAATTTTTTAAAATTATTTTAAGGAATAAAAGGTGAAAGAGGTCATGCTGGAGTTCCAGGATTTCCAGGCCAGAGAGGTGATGATGGCAGAGACGGGGACCTAGGATTGCCTGGGGAAAAAGGAGCTGAGGTACATTTGACTTTCTCAGAATTTTTTTCCATTTCAGTTAACATATTGTCTTACGAAAGGGCTAGCTACTTAATGAGAAATGCCATTTTATTCCAAATTCCTAGCAGATTAATCAATTTTATCATTGTATGTTAAAAAACTATCGTTTTTATCCATTGAAAAATTATTTCCGTGGAAGAATTAGTGTTTATTTTGGTATTCCTGAATATAATTTCTGCATATACTGTGTGCCAATATTATGGGATCAGGAAGAAAAAAACCCACAAAACTCTACCCTTTGTTCCTATTGTCTTTGAATATCTAAAACTACTATAATCATCCATGTAGTCACTTGATTGTGGAAGAGTGGTTTCTCCAGGTAATTCTCTAACATGGCTTTTGATAACCAAGGAGAGGTCTTGTTATTTCTTATCAACAATTTCTTTCTTTTAGGGTGATTCTGGAGTACCACTGCCAGGTGATAAAGGATTTCCTGGGGTCCCAGGACTACCAGGGCTAAAAGGACAGATGGGATTGCCTGGTTTGGGATTTCCCGGCCCTCCAGGAGTCAGAGGTAGCCCTGGAGACTTTGGTGATACTGGTAATGTTGGGCTACCTGGTCCAAAGGGCCAGAAAGGTAATTTTGAATGTTTACATTGAGAACCAAATAACAAAATACATGTTTGCTACCATCCATTACAGTTTCATATGTATTATATACAGTGTTATTCATTTATAGTGAAAATCAATTTTGGCAAGCTCAGTGGTCATGTGAAATACGGCCACTGAAAGGTACAATACTGTCAGCATTTAGCAGCAGACACTAGTGAGAATATGAATTGCTAGGGGCCTTAAACCTGCAAAGTGCTGCTTGCATACTATCAGAGGAATTATTTTCTGGAGTGAAGAGTATTCTTGAGTGTAATGATTTGCAAGGCACTGCTTTTTCGCTGAAGGAGCAGGAAATTACAACCCACAGTTAAGGATTGGTCTGGTTTTTGGTTATAAAAATCCCCTACCAGAATAAAAAAAATCTATGCTGATAGCAATGTGTATGAACCAGAAATGTGCACAGAATTGAGGTGAAAACATTACTTTTTTTCCTGCAACAGAGACTATTGTAAAGACCAATTTCTGTGACAAGTAAAAAAAAAGAAATCTTTGTCTTTAGAGAACACAACTGTATTACAACAATTTGAATCATTACCAATATTCTATACAAAATAAGTGTAAAGAAAAATATATTTTAAGAGTCTCCATCAAACCTTAAGTAATACAGAAATAACAATGGGCATAAACAGTCCCTTCTCTTTACCTTTGAACTCTAGTTGGTTAGTTCCACAGAAATATTACAGTAAATGTTCAGACTCCATTTATTCTAAAATCAAATAGGCCAGTTTCTTTCTCTCTCTTGCTTCAGGTGAGACTATCTGCATTACGTTACCATACCCTGGAAATCCAGGTCCCCCAGGTTTTAAAGGTGTTCAAGGTATGTTTACATTTTAATTGAAATGGAGTTTTAAGTTGTTAATTAAAGAAAGAAACTATCCTAAAAAGATAACCTGTTCTAGGTTTTCAACAGATATATGTCTCAGTGTAAAACTGCAGATACACAGGAATATACCCATCTAGTGGAATCAAGGGCCAGACAGCTGCAGTTTGCATGATGAAAAGGTGTGCAGGCTGCCTCCATAGAAATGACTAAATGAAGGTAGCTTGAAACTCTGTCCTGCCTTAATTAAAATACATGAGAGTCTGTAAAATAGACTGCTGGAGTCAGATAAGACCTAGAATATGCATGTCTGGATAGGAGGGAAAAAAGGTGTGAGAGGCAAAGATATGCTGCAAGTCTGTAATTTCTAAAACTACATTGCTCATGGCAAGTTACAACTGAGACCTAAAACATTACTTCAATGTGTTCAACTTAATTTAAATTCAAAGAACTTATCCAGGAACTAGCAAAATGTTGCTTGTGATCACCTCCAAAACATTTGAAATACCCCAGGAAATCCTGATCACTACAAATGGAGATACTGGATTTTCAAGCTGCTTATATGGTATTACATCTCCCTGACATCAGTGGTGTTTGTGGTAGCTAAAATTTACACAGACATGAAAGAACAGGGATTAGTGTATTGAGCTCATCTTCACCATCCCAGAAGCAGCATATAGCACAGGAGAATGTAAGAGTTTGAGTTGACTCCTGTCATTCACTAGGTTAATATTGTTGATGTCCTGTAATATTAAAAGTTATGGGAGATTTTTTTTTTCTAATTTACTCTGGTGATTTGCAGTCTGCTGTTTACAAATTAGGGAACAAGTTCATTTAGAAAAACATCAACCATGCATTTGGTTGTGACTTGGGTGGTCGCTCTTGCCCAAAATGTTAGAAGCAGATGAAATCCACTTGTCTTCAAAGTACATGAATTTGCATGGATAACGATGCAATACAGTTTCCTTAGATCACACATTTTAGAGCTCTGTCAGTTTTTGAAATATTTTCTTTCTGTTTCCAGGACCAAAGGGTTTAAAAGGACTCCCTGGTCGTCCTGGGCCAAATGGCTTTGATGGGCAAAAAGGCCATCGAGGCAGGCCAGGAGCAGGAATCCCTGGGCCAGAAGGTGAATTGTGCTTTTCTTAATCCAACAGAGCTGCTGGTCAAGCTGTAATGCGTACAGACAGGGTAAGGTAGCTACCGTGGTACAATAGAATAGGAAGAACATTTCAACAAAAGCTAATTTTTACCAGTTTCCCTTTATTTCCTCCAGCATTGCAGGTGCTGCAATAACCTAAAGTTCAGTGTCCAGAGAGAAAATAGTCTCAGAAAACTGAGAACAAGTAGTATCATTTTAGTAAAGGGATTGAACTGGACAAGAGTGACAGTACACAAGATAGATGCTGCCCCAAAGGAAACCACTGTCACTTTCCACAGGAATAATGACCTTGAATCCTCATGTATCATTAGCTGTAAATGAGAAACCTGAAATTTAATGTATGATATTTTTCTTTGCAAAGTGATAATTTAATTCTGGTTAAATTTGCATTATAATATTCCACAGTTTACCGACCTCCAAATTATGCCCTATTTGAATTAAAAAATCATATCAACAGGTTTTCGAGGTGGAGCTGGTGATCCTGGTGATGAAGGTGAAAGAGGATCTACAGTTGATGGTAAAAATGGCCCTCCAGGTCCACCTGGCATAGATGGTCAGAAAGGTGTTCCGGGTGATACCACATATGGTCCTCCAGGAATCCCAGGCAACAGGGGCCTGC